CCTAAACCCTATGTAAACCCTAAGCCCTCCCCTGAAATTTTTTCAGGCCAAGACCTTCCTGGAGCTCCTGAGGCGGAAGCGCCCCGAAGCCTTCAGGCGCAGCAAGGGGGGGGGGATTTAGGGTTTAGGGTTTAGGGATTAGGGTTTAGGGTTGAGGGTTTAGGGTTTAGGGTTTAGGGTGTAGGGGTTTAGGGATTAGGGTTTAGGGTTTGGGGTTTAGGGGACTTCTGGGGCATTGTGAGGCTCTGAGGCTACAGAGCTTCAGGGTTTTTGGGGTTTTCGGTGCGAGGATTTAAGTTAGGGTCAAGCCCTAAGCCAAAAAACGGCTCAAGAGCTTATGGCTTTCAGGATTTAGTGTGTTGTTTGTTGGGTTTGGGGGCTTCGTGTGTAGATTTTCGGCTTTGGCTGAAGAATCAAACGTCTTAGAGGTTTGGCTTCATGAGGCTTGGGCTTCGAGGCTTTTGCCTTCAGGTTTTAGGGCTTCGGATTTAGGTTTTAAGGGTTTTGGGTTGATATGAGGCCCTAAGCCCTAAACCCTAAACCCTAAACCCTAAACCCTAAACCCTGAGGCCCTCTTGTCATGTCAAGGCCTGGAGATTCTGGGTCTTGTTGAGATTCGGCGAGAGAGCCCCTCGCAGTCTGGAAATCCGTGCTTGAAGAGACAGGGTTTCAACATGTGAGCCTCGTAAGCTCGAACCCCAGAAAGGTGGAACATGGGTTTAGGATGATTAGTGCTTGGATCCCTTAAGGGCACGAGGATGATCATGTTCCACTTTGATGGCTACAATAAACCCTACCCTAAACCCTAAAATCAAAAGCAGGTGCATTCCAGATGGAGATCCGGCACACCATGCGGCTGAAAGCAAGCCCGCGGTGGTTGGGCCATGCCCGCCTGGGTCCAAGAAAACCCACGTCGGTTCAGGCTGCAAGATTGAGGCCCCTGTATTAAGGTCCTGGCAGCTACATCGGCGACACTGTGAGTCTCTGAGTTTAGCGGAGTGCCGGTCGGGAGCTTAAGGGGCTTGGTGACTGGTAGGCCGGGTCTTGAGGCGTACCGCAGTATGCTATCTACGGTTTTAGGGTTTAGGGTCTAGGGTTTAGGGTTTAGGGTTACTAGTTCCACAGTGATTATGTATGCAGTGATTTTTGCAAGCCTTTGTATCAAAATCGAGTGGTTCTGAGCCAGGTAGTTAGTTAGGCCGGATGGCTTTTGAGGAATCAAAGCTTGTTGGCCTAAGGGATTGGGGTAGTTTGGGTGTACAGTACCAGTAGAAGCCCGAAACTTGGAAGCCCAATAGCCTCAATCCTTAAGAGTAATGCATAGGGAACCCCAGAACTACTTGTCTTCAATCCGGTTTCCAACTTTTTTGGGGCTTACTCTAGAGTCAATGGGTCAAAGTTTGTTTGTTTAGGGTTTCGCTCAGCATGAAGCCCGTTCCCCGCGATCCCGGTTCAGGGCTTAGGGAATTGAATACCTATGTAGATCTCATATACTGTTAATCTTACATGTGTGCATGTATGTGTGCATATACGCAAATGTATGTTATACATTCATATATATATATATATACACAAAAGGTGGAAGTAAGCAAGAGAGAATATTTCATAAGGCACGTTAAGCATGTCGGGTTTTGCGGACCTGAGATCCACGTCCATTCAGCACCCTGCGCCCTTTCCCGGAACAACGTCCTAAATCAGCCCGAATCTGACGATCTACGGTTTCTGAACACCCCCACATGTCTTATGTAGCGAGAGAATGCTCCATGACGCAGAGGCGCGAGTTCATTCGCCCCGGCCGGCCGCTAATCATTGAAGGTCTCGGGCCCCATCTGGTGCAGCTGGGCTGCATCCAAGTTCAAGCTGAAGTACGATACGGTGTAGGGTTCAAAGCGCATTTAGGGTTAATGTTGTAGGGTCTGGAAGAAACGTCTCTGGGTGTTTGACATTCAGATACTATTTTTGCATTAAGCTATAACTGTAAGGTTTGGATCCAAGTCTAAAGCGCCAAATGGCTCTCCTGAGCCGTAAAGCACAAACAAAGCCTTGTAAGCCGCAACCCTAAAGCCCCAGACGTTATGCCCCAAGCCCTAAGCACTGAAATCTAACCTGAATCCCCAGAGACATTGGGATCTCGGTCTTTTGGCCCTCTTGCGCTCGGTTTTAGTTTGAGTGACCCATCTGACTCTCATTTAGCTTTATGGCCTGTTCATGGTTTCGGGGTTATTTTTTGGGGGTTAATCAAGGTTCAGGGGTCAGTGCTTAATTCTTGCACTTAATATTTAGGATCCTCTCCGGTAATCCCAAAAGGAACTGCAATGGAGCCGATGGGTATGTTACATTGCTTCCCAAGCCCTAAACCGTAAACTTTAAACCCGTTTGGAAAGGAAAAGAGGTCAAAACAAAAAAAGCTCTAAACCCTAAACTCTAAACCCTCAAAACTCTAAACCCTAAGCTCTAAACCCTAAACCATGGTTCTGGGGTTTAGATTGCGTGTCGCAACCCGGCGCCACTGCTTCGGACTCACGGCTTCCTGCTTCGGGCAAAAAAGCGACCCAAACCCGAGGATCGGATCCTTCAGGGCTTCAAGAAGTAGAACCGTTATGTATACATTATATATATATATATATATATATGTTTTTTTTTTTTTTGGGGGGGGGGGGTGGGGTATGTTATCCTGGTATTTGCAAGCCCTCGCTGGTAGAAATAGGCTGTGAACCCTGCCGTTTCCCCCACCGAGTCTGAAGCCCAGGTCCCAAGAAAGCTGCAACTTAAGCCGAGACTGGCCACATGCCCAGTTGTCCTTCCGGTTTGGTGGCGGTTTGGGGTTTAAGGTCCCTAAACCCTAAACCCTGAACCGAAAAAACCCTAAACCCTAAACCCTAAACCCCAACCTCCAGTTGCCCTTCAGGTTTGGTCATCCAGTCTTGGGGCTCCGCGTGTTTAGAGGGCTAGAGCTTTTGGAGTCGCGGGTTCTGGCTTCCTTTGAGTTCCATGCCGAGCCGCGTGGGGCAGGAGCTCATCCGATAGAGGGGGGGGGGGGCGGAGGGAGGGCGGAGGCGGTGCAATAGAAATTGTGTTGTTGAGGTGCGCCAGAGTCTCAGTAACAGCCGCACTTTGGTGTACAAGATCTGACGATGTTGACCGTGGCATACAGATTTTCCTCGTCACCATCATCACCTAGTGAGTGTAGTCACAACAGCACCTTAGCCCGATTCGTCAATTGACTGAAACAGCCCCGTGCGTTCTGCCAAATCCTCAACCTCGTGCGCATGCCACTAAAGACTCCAAACCCTTCATGCAGAGCTGTCCAAAGCCCTCCCGCAAACCTTATCCCGAAAGTTTAGGGTTTCGGGCTTAAGGTTGTTAAAACCGCCAACCCAATTTTGACGCAGGCTCCCGATCGATCAACCAGCAACCTCCCACGCTCCTACGAACTCAACAGTTTATGCACCCCACGACCTTATTCTAAGTATGAAGGACCCTATGTTAGCAGCTTTGTGAGTGCAAGTGTTCTGTGCTCCTGGACTCGAGAGCCAGAGCAGCGCTCAGAAAACTTGCTCAAGCCTTACACCCGAACGCTACCCTGAACCCGAGGCCCAAACCCAAGCCCTCGTCACTAAACCTCGAATCCTAAACCCTAAACCCTGTAAACCCCTAAACCCCTAAACCCTAAACCCTGAACCCCTAAACCCCTAAACCCCTAAACCCCTAAACCCTAAGCCTAAAACCAACACGAAAGCCAACCCGAAGCTCGATCGCCAGCATCTTCGGGTCGTCTTTCCGGGCGATGTGCCCTTTCAGGCTAAGCACCCACTTCGGCGAGAAGATGGCGAACTCCGCGGTTTAGGGGCTTGGGGTCTAGAGTTTATAGGAGGTATAGGGTTTAGGGCTTCGGGTTTAGAGTTCAGGGTTTGGGGTTTGCGGAAACCCAAAAGGCTACATAATATAAGGATTACGTTAACGGTTCCTCGCGGTTCGATAAGGTTTTCCATTGGGGCTCTGCAGGGGCTTCTACCAGGGCAATATCAGGGGTTCTGGAAGGGTTTGAGGCTCGAGCTATTTGGGGTAATTACTGTTTCGGGATTTAGGGATTAGGGTTTTAGTCATTCAGGGTTCAGGCATTGGGCTTTGGGATTAGGCTGTGGGGATTCTTCTGGTTGCAGGGCTCGTTCGGATTGAGGGTCTAGAATGTACAGGGCTAGGGCTTGAGGCTTTAAGCCCACCTTAAACACGGCTCGCCTTGGCAGTTTAGGTTGTGTCATATTAGGGAGTCAAACTTGGGTTTTCTCTCAAAGAGACTTTAAGCAATACTCGATGTGTCAACATATCTCCGGCTGCAATCCATCCCAGAGCCTTCTTGAGATTGGCTTAGTTAAGTCTTGCGAAGCACGTCACAGTAATGCTCCATCAAAGTCCCGATGTAATTCCCTAACCCCCCAGGTACCTACTATATAGGGTACTAGAGCCCCTAGGGCCCTATATAGTAGGTACCTGGGGGTTAGGGATTGTTTTCAAGGTTTAACACGAGCGTTGAGGGTTCCTGGTCGGCTGCTCACTTCAGCCACCTCAGCCTTGAGACTAGCGAAGCTCGCCAATAGAGAAAGCCGTGAACCCCAAGCCACTCAACTCAACAAAATGAGGAGACGGTTCGGGAAGTCGAAGTTGCCTAGCACCTTTCGGAAACCATTAGGAGATGAGACATTCGGCGAGCAGAGTTGAGTTAAGACATGTTCGTCACTGTAGGTTAGGGCTAGGCAAGTCCAAACCTACAGCAGCTTGCTGTGCCAGGTTGCTGTGTACCGAAACTTCTGTGATCCTGGGATGCGCGACGGCGAGGAGCCGTAGCTCCTGTGCAGGGGGCCGGTGCGCGTTCACCGATAGTACGCAAGCTGGAATTAACACTAACACTGCCTTCACCTGTCGAAGTGCAGTTAGTTTGTAGCACAGATGACTCTGTCAAATACATTTTGCAGCAAAGGTTTCGAACCCGGGTCTCTTCATGCCTTGTCCTCAACAATCCTGGAGCAATGGCCTGTGCTGCCGCTTCTGCGAGTCTGCTACTAGCAGTTGTAGAAGCAGCACTGTGTGTTTCGAAGCCGGTGCGGCTCTGGAAACTTAAGCCACACAGAGAAGACACACGAACAGTATCATCCAATAATCCTAGAGCCTCACCCTATAAACCCTAAACCCTCAACTCCAAACCTTAAACCCTATAAACCCTAAACCCTAAACCCTATAAGCCTAAGCCCTAGAGCCTAGAGCCGCAAAGCCTGCAGGCCCTTTATAAAACCATGGACCCTGAAAGCCCTAACGTCCTAATGCCCAGAATCTATGTTTGAAAAGTCCATTAGTGATGTAGGGGCAGAAATAAATTTCCGATACTATTTTGGGGGTTCCTGATTATACTTATAGTATTATGGGCCCCAAAACCCTATTCTATTTGCTAAGGCCCCTATATTACCCAAACCCAGTAGCACCCAAAAGCCCTCAAGCCCTAGACCCTCGCAGACTCAAAGCTGTCCCGGTTATGAACCCTGAACCCTCAACCCTAAACCCTACTGAGCCCGTAGAGGAGCCCTGAGAGCCCCGAGACAGAACCCTGAACCCCATACTCGCAAGCCCTCAGCCCATACACGCACGTATCTGGCCATGTGTTTTTCTTTCACTTTTTCGTATCCGGAGAAGAGGTGAGGGGGGTTGGGAGGGGGGGGTGGGCGGGGGCAGGGGGAGGGGGGTGGTTACGACCATGTTACCCAAACCAACCCAAAGCCCTGCTATTTACGGCGTTT